TTAAATTTTTTTACTTACCATAGATAGCTCCGCATGGGGGGCCCCCTCTATGTTGGTCGCTCTGCACCCACTTGGTGCAATAGGAGATGGCCCACCCCCAACTAACTAACCTTTGCCCGACCCGGCCATGTTAATGTATGGCTTTTCCTTCCTAGACCTTTTGCAACGGGACAATTACATGACCTTTCTCTTTTCATAACCTGCAGCTCCTTTTAAATGCAGCCTTGCCTCCTTTTATATATGCCCTTTCTCCTTTGTTTTGTAAGAGATAAAAACTTCACTCTCTACGAGTAAGAAGGGGTAGCAATGAGTCCATTATCAAATAACTATCTAATAATTTTTCATGTCACTTAATTATATTATGATAAACTCCATTTGCCTAATCTCAAGATTAAAGGTCTATTTAATTTTTAATTTCCTTTTTTTTTTGGATGATCTAGTCTCTTGGGTAGACCATGTTTTTTAAAAAAGAAAAAATAATAACGACTGATTTTGATTTGCCTAAGTAGGCTCGGGACCAAATGGGGACAACTTGAGTTCAATGAAATAGCTCAATTTGAATATAAAAACAAAAATAATGAAAAACCCATGCATTCTCAATCTTTCACCCTCATTTCTTCACTAAAATCACAAAATTAGTATCAAAATTTTTCTAAAAGTATTGTATTGAAATTAGTCCAAAAATTAGAATAATAATAATAATAATAGCAATAGACACTCAGACAGGAAACGATATCTCAATATTCACGTATTTTTGCAAAATAATGAAAGTCCATTATGCATTACCCCCATTTTTTTTTTGGAAACCCAAAAAAGAACATTTATAACAATTTCTAACAAATTTTTTAATTTTTTTTAAGGCCATCCACACAATTAGGACCACCGATCAGCCAATCTGGATGAGTTTTCCAGATGGCCGATCCACCCCACCGATCTGAGTTTTCGAACATTGGTATATAATGATAACTCAGAAATGAAACACTAAGTTTCCAATTTTGATCTTGTGAAAGCTATGAAAAGCCTTGAAAGAATATGGTTTTGGCTGCATATGCTACTCTTGGAAGGTTCTGGATTCATTTCGGACCCAAGAGTGCCTTCTGGTAGTTGGCCCCAAATGGGGCCCTTTACTATTTCAATCTATATGCAACAATGCCTCCAATTTATCCTACTAAGTTGGGTGTATGGCTCTTGCTTAGCAATGAGTAAAGATAACTTTCAAAGGACTTAGTAACAGGATATTAATAAGATGCATGTGTTGACAGTCAGCTGAACTTCCATAGAGAGGTTTGAGAGGAAGAGATGAAAGTAGGATGATAGGGTCTATAGGAAAATTTTTAATTTCAGCAACCATCATGAATCAATTGACCTTCCTTTGGTTGGAGTTTTCTTGGGCTAGCAACAAGGAGGATCCTGTGATGGTCAAAATTACTCACCTTCTTCGTTCCATGCTTAAAATCTCAAAACTTTTATCGGCTCCATGGCCAACGACTATGGATAAAGGATGGTACCATTACTAGTTGTCAGTGGAAGGCATACTAGCACAGAATGGTCAAATACGCGTACTATTGATTTCCATACGCGAGCTAGAAACCATATTCCCACTAAAAGCATGATCAAGGATGCTCGAAATCTAGGCCTCAAGTTCACACATTTCAATAGCACTATTAATAAGTCATATGAATAACAAGAAGTGTGTCTAACCTGTAAAAGGTACCTGTTAGCCCAAAAAACTGAGGCGGTCCATAGTTTGCTCAGTAGGTTTGTGGAATAGTTCCTCATAGGTGGAGGCACGGACTAAAGAGAGTGAAAAATCGGACAATGCGCTTGTTTATGGTTGGATATCCTCTTCATGTTATCTATGGGGTAGGAGGAGGGAAGTCATCAGCATGTTTGGTTTGGGAGTAGGCATCTACACTATCATAAGGTGTTCCATCCATGATAAGGCCCTCATCATCGACCATCTTTTTACTTAACCAAAAAAAACATAGACCACCTTTAAAAACGAGGCTAGGGATCTAATGAGGCTCGCAGATCCCACTACCTGCTTTATGTGCTGAGAGGGATATCATGGACCATCTCCTTTAGCAATGACCTTATACTTGAATGATTATGATATCCTCCATGGCTCCCTGAACTTGTTAGAGATTCCTTACTCGTTTTATTGTCAAGGGAGCTTATGAGACCCTAATCATGTACTCAACTCCTTGAAGGAAATCATTTGCCTTAGGACATGAGCCATATGTGCATGGTAACTTCCTGGGGCATATACAAAGAATTAGCAAGAGGTTTTCGAGCACCGCATTAAGTTGCTTTAGACTTAGGGAGCATATTAAGGACTGTGAACAATTTGGCCGCAGTCACCAAAGAGGTTATTTGGCTTCAGGGATGCTAACTAGTTTAGAAAATCAAAGATGATCAAGGAAATCACCATCCCTAAGAATAGAATAAGAATGAGTTATGGCCTAAGGGTATCCCTAGAAAGGAATCTGATGGTAGGTCTCTCTGGTTACGTGGCTTACTATAATAAAACCTCAGAAGGCCCTCAAGACCTCTACGACAGCCGGTCCTCTCCTGTTCGGGCCCCATAACATACCTTTAGTTTTTTTAATTTTCTCTAACCATGAAAAAGATTCTCTCATCAACTCTGCTATGGCGTATCCCAAGCCAGTCATGCCGGTGCCAAACCCGGATAAAGGAAGAGGGTTGTGTTAGGCAGGGCAGCCAGTGTAAAACTTTGCCACCTTTTCACGAATCCTAAACCTATGTCATATGCTCATGCTAGGGCATTTCCTGTAGGTTTGACTGAGGGTATGACCCTTGATAGAGCAGAATGACAAAACAAGATTCGTGTAGCCGACCCCAAATAGTTGGGATAAGGCTTAGATAATGATGATGATGGAAAAGATTGTATCATTCGCACTAGATGTGCCTACAAAGAGCCCACAACAATGGGCCTAGTTGGTGCATCTTTGTTGTTATCCCACTCACTCTTTAGTGGGGCCATAATGAAATGGTAAACACTTGGACACTAGCCAAGGTTATAGAGGAGCTTCTCACAAGAGGGAGGGCGAATGCCCACTCCAAACTCCTCCTTCCTTTTTTATTTTTTGGGGGAAAAAGTTAATTCTTGTTTCTAGTATGTTTGTCAATTACAAACAAGGAATCAGGCTACCCGCAGGTTGGGCGCTCTTTACATTTCCCAAAAAGTACTCTCTCAGTCTGTCACAATACAAAACTAGGTAAGAGACCTTGTACAATGGAATAAAAACAAAGAACTCTCCAAAAATAGGCAAAAAAGGAGAAACCAGATCTCCAAAAAGGTGCCAAGAAGGTACTGCTACTGGGTGCAAAATCTGCTGATCCAAGCACTCCTGCTTTTGCAAGGCTATTGGCTACATGGTTTGTCTTGTGCCACATATACCGATCAGGAGAAATGCAAATGCCTGCACAAGTCGAAAAGTTGGTCAAAAATGTGTAGAAGCTGCCATGGACACATCGAGTCTCTCTTTGCCCAAGAAACAATGTTTTTGGAATCACCCTCCACCACTAAACAACTTGACCACTCTGTTCTGACCCTTTTGATCCCCTTCAAGGGCTAAAGCCTCGGTGCAGGTGGAATCAGATGTGCCTAATTAAGGTGGAGTAGGATAGCCAGATATTGCCATTGTGGTCTCTAAAGAGACCTCCAAAATCCCGCCAGACTGAGGTTAACAAGGGAGCAACCATCAAAATTGAGTTTGATTTGTCCTAGTTCAGGAAGGTGCCACAGTGATAATCGAATATTTGGATGGGCATGGTTTCTAACAGGGCCTGCCAGTGCTGAAGAAAGTCTATGGCAGCATGCTAGCTGAACTTTTTAGAGTTCATGGCCCAAAAGATAACTATCCCTTTGATGCGATCCATTAATGTCACGGCTGTGTGTTCTCTCCCTTCCCATATTCAGATTTCTTTCATTCCATATCACCCAAATGGTAGACCCGATACCTGCACGGCAAAGGAGCAGGCCCACAGCAGCCAGGCCATGGAAGGGGCAAGAAGCCTTGGAATAGGTGTGGGATGGAGGAAGGCATGATCCAATACCAATTAAAGAGTTGAAGTAGATAGGCCCAAAGTCTGGAAGCCCGTGGACAGTGTTAAAACAGTTTCCTAACTCCACATACTCGACTAGACCAATCCCGATGTGAATTTCCTTCTTGCTCGAGAAATAGGGAATTCCTTTCAGATGGCGACTACTTTCCAATACAAATATGAACCAGCAAAGGACTTACAAACCATGTTAGTCGTGAGGAATTGGCATGGCTTATCTGATAGTAGTTCGTTGAGGTGATAGGTATTTCTTTTCTTTCATTTTTTTGAAATTGTTCACTTTGTATTAATGTAAAAGGAGAGTACAAAAAGTGAAACTCCTATACAAAAACCCTTCGGGGCCCAAAAATGTGATACAGTGTATATAGGAAAACCAAAGCCGAGTTTGGTACAACTTGAAAAGATAACAAAAGTTCCCAAATGATCATAAAAACCATATGAGATATATAAAAAGATATTTCTTTATAATATATGAAGGTCTTTTAGCAAAATTAATGGCTTTGTGATACTTGTAACAGGGGTGAGTTGTCGCCCAGAACTCGCCACAAGTTAACCTGGCGGAGTCCTAGTAGACTCAGCCGAGCCTTGTAATATTGCTCTACACAAGAATAACACCATAGAGAGAAAAAAAGAAGCAATTCCATAAGAAGGTTATCACAATTAATGGCTACAACAATAAGAAATATATAATGCAATATCAAATTGCAATAAATTTCAGCAGATTCCAAAACCAGAACAAGAAGAAAAACCCATTAATCATCAATATGAAAACCCATTATTGCCACAGGTGTTCCAAAGCTTCATTTCATTAAAAAATGAGAAATGACCGAACTAAACACACCCATTTAAAGAGAGAGGGCCAGAAGCTCAGATAACAACGACAAATGCAAACTGTAATGAGCTAAATCACTCACAGGGGTATAATTAGCGAGACAATAATTCATGTGCAGATTCTTTTCCATGTCCATTACAGCAGAGGAAGGCAGAGGCCAACGCCCTTCTTCTACCTCCTCCTCGCAGAGACCCATCGTTTCAGCCATGAGCTTCTCACTGTCCTCCACACACATGACTTCCAAAATGTTAGAAGAGATGGAAATGGCGAGACTAAAATTTATTGCAGATCGAAAGAGAGCCTGAAAGTGAAGAGTGAGCAAATGAGGCAAAGCTAGAGAAAGCACAAAAGTGAGAATATGCTCGGTAATGCCTAGAGAGAGAGAGAGAGATTTCAAGACGAGAGGAGAGAGAGGAGAGAGGAAAGAGG